GGAGAATTGTAACATCCCGAAATTCAGGTACAACTATTTAACCCTTCTCTTTTGTCAAGTTGTCAAGATTAGCCCTTGAGTGGAAATTGTAGCAAATGAGTACGCTGCGCGTACTCATGCTCTTATTTTGGACGCGGGCTCGCCTAGGTACGCTGGGCGTACCCAGGGTTACGCTGGGCGTAGTTGGCCCAGGTGCAAAACCCTAATTGTGGCTTGAGGGCTATAAAAGGAATGAGATGGTCTTGTCCCCAACCACCATCCCTTAGAGAGAAACCCTAGAAGAGCAACTTTATCGTTCTAAAGCTAGTATGTGTTCTTGAGCAAGAAAGTGTCTTTGTGTGTTAGTAAAGAAGAATAGGAGGTTCTTGTGGAGGCTAGAAGTTGGAGTACAAGCTTGGATCTGAGTTCTATAGAGGGAGGAGCTTCACTTGGAGGTATAAAGCTCAAAGCTTTCCTTGTTATTTTTGATTTGTGCTTCATGGACCATTTCTAGGGTTAAAGTCCCAAAGGTGGAGACTTTATGAGCATAAAGGACTCCATGGACCTAGATCTGTCCCATTTCAGTGATATTTGTGTTATAGATCCATAAAGTTTCCATCTTGGTCGTTGATATGAGGTCATGCTTGAATTATGAGCTTTCTAGAGTTGAGAAATGGAATGTTATGGGTGTTAGTGACTTGTCCAGCAATGCAAAGGCTTAAAGTCACCAACTTTATGGATTAAGAGGCTTAGAAATGGTCAGATCTAAAAGTTGGACGTGGGTCTTAACTGTTTAAGACCTCAAGAGCTAAGGAGTCTGAAACTGGGAGTTACGCTGGGCGTAATCCCAGTACGCGCGGCGTAGGGGGTCCCGTTCCCCGTTTCTGTGAGGTCGCCGGGTACGCCCAGCGTACAGGCTTGGTACGCGCAGCGTAACCCGGAGAGTTGACTTTTGTTGACTTTTAGGGTTTGGTCAACAATTGGACTTTCGGGACCATTGAGGGGTAAAATGGTCTTTTAGCCTTCTGAGAGGACATAAGAAGGGATTAGTCTAGCCTTGAGAGCCGTTAATGATTTGAAATAATTACTTTATGTGATTAGGCGTGGCTAGGTCGTTGTTTCGAGATTCAGGGATATCGAGCACGTGAGTTACTAGACATCATACGAGGCGAGTCTTCTCACTATACATTACCTAAAGTGGTATTTATGTGTAGACCGGAGGGTCTTGTATGCTATGTGTATATATGAGATTATGTGCATTGTGATATATGTATGCTATGTGTTGTATAGACCGGACCGGAGGGTCCAACGATATAGACCGTACCAAACGGTCCAACGATATAGACCGGACCGAAGGGTTCAACGAGATAGACCGGACCGAAGGGTCCAACGAGCTATGACCGGACCAGAGGGTCCAACGAGCTACGGGACTGGACGGTCCCGCTGAGACACATCGACCGGAGGGTCGTACTGTAGCCTCAAGTGGCGTATGTGTTGTATGTGGTATTTTGGGGAACTCACTAAGCATTTATGCTTACAGTTGTTGTGTTATGTGTTTCAGGTACTAGCGAGGATCGCGGGAAGGTGCCGACATGATCCGTACACACTGAGAGGATTTATGTATTTGAGGATCTTGGGATTTGTTTATTGAGATAACATGTGTTACATTGGATTACTATGATATTTTATGAATGAGAGTATGTTTTTAAAATGAAAAATTGTTTTGGAAATTTACGTCGTTACATATATATATATATATATATATATATATATATATACCAATGACTTCCAACCTAGCTGGGAAGAGGTACCGGGTTTAATACCCACGTGAGGTCAGAGGTCGGGAGTTCAATCCCTGCAAAAGCCACGGGAGCCTCTTAAACTTGTGCCACATGTGGGGAAATTTTCCCTGGAAACCCCTGTGGGGGCTGGGTTTGCCCTGTAAATGAGCTCGAACCCGGGGTGCTCGCTGAAATATGCGAGTAGGCTTCCGCTTAATCAATGGCCGTTTCCATATATATATATATATATATATATATATATATATATATATATATATATATATATATATATATATATATATATATAACTTTGTAAAACCTCGTTAGTCGGTTTGTATCCGGTCTTTTGTAATAAGACCATATATCTATAAAATATGTTTATGAATATGTGTATATATATATATATATATATATATATATATATATATATATATATATATATATATATAAACTTTGTAAAAACCTCGTTAGTCGGTTTGTATCCAGTCTTTTGTAATAAGACCATATATCTATAAAATATGTTTATGAATATGCATGTAGCATGTTTTGGAGTAACTTGGAGTAATAATGTTAAATTATGAAAGGGGTCCTTTCAAATAGTTTCTACTGAAATATAACACCTTCAAAGTGTTAAAATTTCATTGTTTGCTACTGCTTTGCTCATTGTGTAGGCAGAAATTAATTGTTAGGCGTCTTCAGTCTGTGGAGTAGCGTCTATGGACTAATCGAAGATTAATCGGAACTTAGTCGAGATTTTACAACACTGCCATGCACGACGAGAAGGTTCTTGAAAGGAGTATTCATAAGTGTGCAACATAGAAGGAATACCAAATCGACACCAACAACTATCAAGTGACTGACTACAAAAAAAATTTGTCAAACTACAAGAGACGATAAGGAATATGTGGAAAATGGCAATGTATTGGTTTACCAAGTGGTCATATGATATCGAATTTCAAACACCTACGATTTACACAGTGTAATAAATTGGTTGAGGTTATTTCATAATGGAGATGTACCGAGCTACATACATAGAGTCCGTGCATTTTCATGTGTCCGTTCATACTGAATGTGAATAATTATATTAAGTGATGAGAAGGTTCGGAATCTAGTCAGGATTTTACAACACTGTCCTGCATGATAAGAAGATTCTTGAAAGGAGGATTTATAAGTGTGCAAAATGGAGGGCATACCAAATCGACACCAACAACTATCAAGTGTCCGTCCTCAAGAAAATTGTTATTGTCAACCTACAAGAGATGATAATGTACATGTAGGAAATGACGATATATTGGTTTACCAAGTGGTCATGTGATATAGACTTTCAAACACCTACGATTTACACAGTGTAATAAAGTGGTTGAGGTTATTTCATAATGGAGATGTATCCGGCTACATACAAGAGGTTGTGCATTTTCATGTGTCCGTTCACACGTTGAATGTGAATAATCATATTAAGTGATGGAAGTTTTACAATCGTTGATGGATAAACCTCAAGTTGGATGTGCACGAAAACATAATTGTATCCCATCCTAAGGGAACGTCTGATAATAAAAAAACCGGAGTGATTACCCGCCAACAGGTAGGACACATACGCCTAACATGTGGATCTTCGTTCATGATTGATCCAACAAATTCATAATCATAAAGTAGAGTTAATTCTAAGTCCAAGTCTAACGTGAATGTTAGTCAAATACATAATCAACATTATCTTACGTTTTATTTAAATAACTCTTACAACTGTATGTTTGTCGGTTGCAATGTTATTGACATGCACAAAAACATAATTTCATGAAAACATAATGGTATCCCATTCTAAGGGAGCGTTTGATAATAAAAAAATGGAGTGACTGCCAGCTAACAGGCGGGACACATACGCCTAACATGTGCATCTTGGTTCATGGTTGATCCACCAAAGGCAATCATAAAGTGGAGTTAATTCTAAGTCCAAGTCTAACGTGAATGTTAGTTAAACACATAATCACCAATATCGTGAATGTTAGTTAAACACATAATCAACAATATCTTACGTTTGTTGGAAGTTTTGATTGGTTGTATGGATCGGGTTCAAGGAGGTCGTTGGATATGGGTTTGGAGGAGGGAAATTCAGGGAGCTAGGCCATGAAAATGAGCAACTTCGCTGGGTTACTGGCGGTGTTGCATGGCATTGAAGTATCATCAAATCTAGACCCGTATTCTCGGGTGCTCCACAGCTAACTCAACAAAAACATATTGATGGTGTTTCTCTTGTTGATGTTAATAGGAAGATGGTGTAAAATAGTCCCAAAGAAGGTAAACATATTTATTTGGCGGTTGATCTTTGATAGGCTTCCAACTTGTTTTAACTTGTCAAAAAAGGCATTGAATTAAATTCCTTGGTGTGTCCAATTTGCAATATGGGGGTGGAGACTACTTTTCATCGATTCTTTCATTGTCAAGTTTCGATGAATGTGTGGTGACGTGTAGAGCATTGTTGTGATGTCGTATTCCCTTTGTCGAATTCTATAGTTGAATGACTTTCTTAGGTGGATGACTCCATATGGTCGAGTATATTGAGAAGAGGCGGGTTGAGGTGATTATTTTGACTACAATTTGGGTGTTGTGGAAGCAACAAAATTCAGTGGTTTTTTATGACAATCTTATTTGTAACAATATTATTTTTGATAGTATAGTTTTAAATTTGTTTTCCTAAAAACATCGAGCTTTCAAATTTGATGTTAATTGGAATGCTTGGATGCCATGCCCCTTGTAAAGTAAGGTTTTTGCTTTAATTTCAGTTAATTGCTTGAACTTGAATATATAAATATAGAAAGTACTAAGTTATTCCTTTGAATATGTATCATATCTCGTCTAACCTTGGCCAAGCAGCCATCACGCCAACAGCGAGAGGCCAGCTCCAGCACCAAAACTCACATGGCAGTTTGGCGGTTTACTCCTATTTTCAGTCTCTTGGCAATGATGGACCTTGGAGTAGCGACAACGATGTATAATTAATTAATTAATTAATATTAGCAATATACTATTAATAGCGATAATAATAATAATTAAGAGTGCGAAATGGTCATTTATCAAAGCTTAACAAACCAAAACAAATAGATGTTAACTATACTATTCCATGGACCTAAACAACCAAACCCTCTCAAAAGATTGCAAACCACAGCATTTTTGCAGTTTACGCTTAATTGATTCATATTCACATTTATACAAATCCCAACAAAACCGTAACATAAACTAATTCAATTACGTGAATCTTTTACTACGTCCAATCATTCTAACCCAACTAACACACAAATTCGGGTTTAATTTCATCCATAATTCCCTATAGTTCTCTTTTTCATCACAAAAAATGGGGAGTGCAACTAGGTGTAACGGATCATCTTTCGCCCACCCAAGCTCATTCAACTTCTTTTCACAATCTTCAAATGTTGGTTTTGGAGGTGATTCTGGTTTGTTGTTAATGTTATCAGCTATCATCTTCAAGACTCCCAATATTTCTTCTTCAAAAACCGACATCCTCCTTTTAGTCTCTATTGCCACTACACTTGCAGGTTGTACTTTAGGCAATTCTGGTGGTACTTCAACTTTAACCAGAGAGTTGCACATTATCGGTTTTTTCTGTGGTTCCACTTGTGCTACAGTAGCGGCTGAGGGCGGTGGTGACTTTTTGGATGATAGCGGAACAAGAGGTACGGCTGCTTGAGGTTCTTCGGTTATTTCACCTAAAAGATCACACATGAAAAACAGAATAATTCCACTTTGGATGTATTTCAACTTCAACCAGAGAGTTAGTTACACATCATCAATATGAGAAATGAACACAAACCCTTTCAAATAAGAAAAACAAATTGTTACCCGGTTCCGGTCCGGTCAAAGCCTGGTCTTCAACCATGTTCGAATCATCAACAGAAACCAGCACCTCGGTTTTAGTCTCTATAGGTTCACATGCAGTTGCAGGTTGTACTTGAGGCAATTCTGGTGGTACCTCAGCTTTATTCTCTACTGTCACAAATGCAGTTGCGGGTTGTACTTGAGGCAATTCTGGTGGTACCTCAGCTTTATTCTCTACTGTCACACATGCAGTTGCGGGTTGTACTTGAGGCAACTCTGGAGGTACTTTAACCAAAGAGCTACACACCATCCCTTCTTTATGTGGTGCTTCAGCAGCAACGATTCGGCGGCGCTTCTTACTGTGACGCGTGTTTAAGACTACTTGGCCCGGTCTTAACTTGTGAACATTAAAATTAAAATTAAAAAAAAAAAAAACAATAAATGAAAGTATGTTGCTACTTCTTGTCAGAATATTGTTATAGAGCAAATAGCCGAATACTCGAGTAATTATTATATTCCTCAATGTAATCATTTGGGTTAAAAACAATAAATGAAAGTATGTTGCTACTTCTTGCATTTAGCCCAAAATAAACTGCCCAAAATCTGAACAACTTACAGTCTTCTCATAGAGAGGAAGAATGGTATGATCAACCAAAAACATGCATAGGTGTCCGAGAACAGCTTCTAAAGCTTGCAGAACCTTGAGACCTTCTCCCTTTAAATTGACAACTCTATCATCTGAGTTGGTGGATAATTTTGATACTTCATCTGGCAGAAAAAAAAAAAGTGGAAATAGTAAGTATTTGAAACCAATAAAAAACCGTAAAAACAAAAAGAGAAAATCTTGGAGACAAACATATATTGAAATGGAGATGCTTCTAAAAACTAAAAAGTTGAAGCATATATATCACACATGTCAAAATAACTTATAAATGAGTTGTTTCGAATAAACTTTAGGTTTAAATACAAGAAACAGAAACATACTTTCATTAATGTGTTTAGTATAGGCTAAATACAAGAAATAAGAACATATTTCTATTTATAATTTCTTGCGGTTAACACTTTATTGTAGCATCCCTTTTACATTTCTTCATAGTACAACATTCTACATTGAAAATATTTACCCAATAATAGCAACGTCATCCAAATACAAATCAATTTTTACTGCTATACTTAGCTAAATTTTTCAAATTATAATGTCCTTATAAGAGAAGAAAATTTGAAAGTACAATACTATAACTGGCTAGATTTTTCAGAGTACAATGTCTTAATAAGAAACTTTTAGAAAGTACAGTGTTGTAAGATAAAGAAATGAAAGTAGGATGCTATTGTCAAAGAATTGGCTTATCAGATTCAATCGCTGAGTTGTCACAAATGATGATAATGATAATAAAATTCTAATTTTATCTATAGAAGCAGTCTCTCTACCTTTGGGTGGAGATACAACTGTCTGCATCTAACCTCCCCTAACTGTATTCCAGTGGGATTTGGGTTTTGTTGTTTTAAACTTTGAAGACAACATAGAAATTGTGTGTCATGTGAAAAAAAAAATCCTATATACATATAAATAGATAATCATTAGATTTAGAACAGAATCTATACCACAAGATAAAATGCGAATATAACAACCCGTGTTCTCCTGTATTCTCTTTAAAAGAGATCCTTGTGTCTCAAGCAAACTCGTGGCTTGTATTGATGTTAACAACAGTCGAATTGAACAAAATGGAATAGAGGCTACACCATCACTTTCATTTTCTGGAAATTCATTAACACATTTAAATACTCTTATCACAGCATCCATTGCAGGTGACAAAGGTGCCTCTATATCTTCCTTGCTAGATATTTCTACCTAAAAATGTTAGGTAAATTGTAAACATGTGGTTAGTTTTTATTTCATGTATCATGTAAGGCTTAATCCATGGTCAATAAAACTATTAAAACATGTTTCTCAATTACCAAACGACCTAGGTACTAAAAAGTATGAAAAAGCAACAGTGACACAAATTGAAAACTAACTTGTTTATCCAAAACAAAAAGAACCAGAAATCTCAAAAGATCAACTTACAATGCGGTTAGGGTCAGAAACAGGGCCTTTCAGTACACGAATATTAGCTTTAGTCTCTTCGCACATCTTGATTAGACCTCCATTCCGTCCTATAATACTCTCAACTTTATGCACAGGCACTATAACCCGAAACATACAGTATCCAGGTCGTTTCTTCTTAGGAACCGTCGTTTCTGCAGCCGGAGCTACCTCAGTAACCGTTGGATGATCAGCTACTAGCTTCTCCTCTTTCACTTCCGCTCCCACCGTCCGCTCGGTTTCTACGGTGGCAGTGAGGGGAATCTCAGTTTCGGAGGTTCGGGCAGCGGTTACGTTCCCAGAATGTACGTTAGAAGCCATTGTTGTATATTTTGGTTAGGGTTTTTCAATACAGAGGGTTTAACGACTTGAAAATGTTTCCATATTAGCATTTGTTGTAAGGGTTTAACGACTCGAAGAATTCGTAAAGACGCCAAGATTTTTTTTTTTTCTCACGTTCATCAAATAATCAGTTGCGAGTTGAGAACCCTTCACTCGAAACAACTATAGCCCTTCGAGTTAAAATTTGTTTTTGATTTAGGTGCTAGTATAGCCCTTCTAGTATATAAATGGGAAAATGACTTATATGGTAAGTAATTTTTTGAAATGTACATATTTAGTCATTATTTTTTTTTAAATTAAACCCTTATACTTTATTAATATGTACACATTAGGTCCTTTTGACCGGATTCTATAGATTTTGCTGATGTGGAAGCACACGTGACACTAAAAACAACTGCATAACAATTAATTAGCTTAGTCACTCCTTATAAACGAATGTTAACATCCAAAATCAGGAGGAATCACGATTTTGTCGTAGAAGAAGAAAGAAGACGTCGAGTGGCTCAAGAATCTCCACAGGTTCAAGCAATCACAGAGTAGATAAGGAAATCATCTGTGATTGTAAACTCCCTATAAGAATTCGTACCTCCAAGACCAAAGATAACCCTGGAAATAAATTATGAGTGTGCCCTAACTCATTGGTAAATACCTAAATTGATTTTATTTGTCAAATAGCATCAATTTTCTTCTTCTTACCTTCTATGTTGTTGATTTTATTACTACAGAAACCAGGGAAAAAGTGTAAAGTTTGGGAATGGATTGATGAAGAACCTGAGAATATGAAGCCTATTGCAGAATATACTATTTCAGATGTTGCAGATTATCTTATACAAGTTTTAGAGGATGTGGCATCTGTTAGAGAATAAGTGAAACAGTTGAAGGTTATGGTTTGTGTACTGATTCTGCTAGTCATTGTTAAGGTTATGTTTTGGGGTTGAAGATATGCTTCTGGAGGTTTTAGGGGATGTTGATGTAATAGACTTGTTGTGTAATTCTTGTTTATGTAATGGATGTTGATGTACTTTATGTTTATGTAATGGTAAAGTTTATTGATATTATGTATGAATGTTGATGTAATTAAGTCAGTCAAATGGAGGTAAAACCAATACAAATTCCAGGAAATATTCTTTTATAGACAATTGGATGTAAAGACAAATAAAAGTGGCTAAAAAAAGGCATCAAGCCATTTAATAATTACAAAAGATAAGCCCACCAGTATGGGTAATACAGTAATTTAGTTCAAAATATTCGACAAGTACATCAAAAGTAAACAACTAGTAGGGGTAATATAGTAATTAAGTTCAAAAGATTACTCCACACTACATCAAAATATATATCACATGCATTCCCCACTACACCAAAACCTAATTACTCTAAGGTCACAGGTTTGTCTTGGCTGCATCCAGTTCCATCCTTGACTTTAATGTTGTATCTCTTAAATACTAGGGCTTTCATTTTCCTCAAACTCAGTTTAGGACTCTTCAAAACATCATTCACAAATTGTTTCCCTATCCACTTATATGTTACAATTGACCCAAGTTTGAATGCCCTAGAGCACTTGTGCTCTGTTATAAGAGACTTAATCTAAAAAGTGTGTTCCTCTTTCATCCAGGAAGTATACAATCTAAAAGGGCATGTTGGATTCTTTCCTTTACAACACCTAACTAACAACCTACTCTTGTCATTCTTTTCATACCACAGATCATAACCATTTGCTACAGCATAGCAACTAAGAGAGTATTTAAGTTCAGCAATAGTATAGTATTTCATACCTAATCGGGGCTTCATCTCATTCCATTCCTGAGTATGATCATGTCTTGGGTAAATAGGTCGTATTGCATTATGATCTTATTCAACCAAGTCATCATTCTGTATTGGACAAAGTTTGTTGAGGAATTGATCATTGAAGTTTCTTTTGAGAGATATAACTTCATCGTGTTAGAAAATCATGGGACCATTCTATAAATGAACATATATAATTGTTATCATTTAAATCCAAATTATTATGGCAAGTGTATAAGATTGTTGATGGATCGATATTCACTTACCATTTGTGGCTTGAGTTCCCGGTTTGAATCAAGATCCTCAAGATCCCTTCCATCTCTCACATTAGGGTTTATCTCCATCTATAAATATATGTGACGAGGAGCAAATCCAAAAGGACGAAATTAATTCACAAATTCGTTTTTTCTGATTGCTAAGGGGTCTTGGAGTTGTCTTGAGATCAACTGGAAAACCAAGCTTGTTCTTCAGATCCAAAAGCTTCAATGGAAGCAGGTACACAATCTCCTTCTCTTATTATTCTTTTATTTAGATTCGAGTTTGAAGGTCTGGCCTTAAAAAGCTTCCGCATTCATAGATTAAGTTATTAAAATTATCAACAACTGGTATCAAAGCCTTCTCGAATTTGATAATAGAAATTTTCTGTTGGTTTAAGATCTCTAACATTATATTTGAAACATACATGTTCTTCGTTACGTCGAGAACTATTTATTTCATCAGATGCTTGATTTTTCTTTGACTGTCGATGAATAACGAAGGATGTAATATATATTTGTATTTTTGCTACTGAGATTGCTTCTTGCTCCAAAAGAAAAGTAAAACTTCAAATATTTTACGATTATCCGTATTAAAGGCACAATATCTTTGTTTGAGTTGTTAAATTCATGTACTATTTGCTTTTACCTTTTGTTGCCGACATTGCTTTACAATTGTCCAAACAAATGTTTGACTAATAAGTTTGATAGTGACTATTAAAGTCTGTCATGCGAACGCTGTGTATTATGTTTTATATATATTTTTTTGTCTTTTGTGAATGGCTATTGATATTTTTACTTATGTACATATTAGATAAAATTAATAAGTATTATTTGTGCCAATACAACTTTAAACTAACATGCAAATATTTGTGGATTGTAATTTGTCTTGAAGTCGTAAGTTGTTTTGGAGACCACATATACATGCACTTTGTTAAAATAAATAAATGCCTTTAGCCCTTGTGTTTATATTATCTCTCGTTTTGAGCTGTACATATAATACACATATATTCTCTTAGCTTTTATTATTATTTGACTTTGCCGTGTATATGATTTAAGAAAGCAGTTTTTTATGTGATAATGTTTACTGTTGTCAGCATGTCTACAATTTAATTACGTTAGTGTGCATGCAATTTAATTAAAGAGCTACATTTTTATTCGATAAGCACTGTTAATGATATTTGAATTTATTATCAGTTTTTTATGAAATTATTTTGGTTGTCAATAAATTCAGTTATGACATTATTTATTTTCTTGGCAAATTTATTGACGCAAAGTGATGTTTTTTTGTGAAAATTAATTTTCTAAGAATCTAAATATTACGGTTTATGTGTTTATTATTGGGGATACCAATCTACCCAAATGTAGGTTGATATTTTACCGAATAAACACGAATATGATAATGAATATGCGATAATTATTTTTTGGTTACATGTCATTAATAAGTCAATCCAAAGAGGGGCTTGTTAGATGGGATGATTTATTGTCATATATTATTATTAATTTTTTTTATGGTTTATGTGTTTGTCAATGTGGATATTAATCGACCCAAAGGTAGGTTAATATTTGGTCGGATAAACACATATATATAGTGGTAAATATATGATAATTTTTAGGTTTCATGTGATTAATCAGTCAATCCAAAAAGGGGCTTATTGATTAACATATTTTATTGTTAATATTTTTTACTACTTAAACAAGATATCTCTTACAAGTTAATATTGTTGTCCAAAGACTTGATATTAATGTTGTGTCGATATATTGTGATGTCATAAATTGAATTTTATTGATTATAATTATGGTTTAATAAGCATGAAAACTAATTAATATTTTGTTCTGAAATACAACAAATGCTAATTGTGGCATAATATCTTCCAACTTGAATCACATTCCAGTCCTTAATGGGACTAACTTTAAGGAATGGAAAGAGAACATTATGTTAGTTCTCGGCTGCATGGATCTTGACCTTGCACTTCGGATTGAGCAACCCATCCTTACTGCCACAAGTTCAGTGAAGAACAAAAGGGATGCTGAAAAATGGGATCGCTCAAATCGCATGAGTCTAATGATCATTAAGCGCGGCGTTCCAGAAGCTTTTAGAGGTGCAAATGAGCAGTCTATTAATGCTAAAGATTTTCTTGCTGAAATTGAACAACGTTTTGCAAAAAATGATAAGGCTGAAACAAGTACTTTTTTGCAAAAGATGATTTCAATGAAGTATAAAGGCAAAGGAAACATAAGGGAGCACATCATGGAAATGTCTCATCTTGCTTCAAAACTTAAGGCATTGAAACTAGAAATTTCTGATGATTTTCTAGTTCATTTGGTGTTGCTTTCTCTTCCTGCACAATTTAACCAGTTCAAGGTCAGTTACAACTGCCAAAGGGACAAATGGACTCTTAATGAGCTCATTTCCTTTTGTGTGCAAGAAGAAGAAAGGATGAAGCAGGAAACAACTGAGAGTGCTCATTTTGCTAGTACCTCTAAAGGTAAGGGCAAAAGAAAGAGAAAAGAAGCTGCTACTAAGGGACCAATGCAAAAGAAACAACATTTAGGTAATGATCAAAAGAAAAAGGAATCAGGACCTCCTAAATGCTTCTTTTGTCAAGAACCTGGTCATTTGAAGCCGAATTGTCCGAAATACCACGCTTGGCGAGTTAAGAAGGGTATAATTCGTGCTTTGGTCTGTTCTGAAATTAATTTAGTTTCTGTACCTAGAAATACTTGGTGGGTAGACTCTGGTGCTACTACTCACGTAAGTATTTCTATGCAGGGTTGCCTGAACTACCGAAAACCAAATGATGTTGAAAGATACATCTATGTGGGTGATGGCAAGCAGGTTGAAGTCAAAGCAGTTGGCACATTTCGTTTATTACTAGATACTGGTTTTTATTTGGATTTTCAAGACACTTGCATTGTACCGTCTTTTAGACGCAATTTGGTTTCTGTTTCTAAATTGGATAAATCTGGTTATTATTGTTCTTTTGGAAATGGTGAATTTAGTTTGTCTTTAAATTCAAATGTTATCGGTACTGGTTCTCTAACGTATTGTGATAAGTTATATATGCTTGATATTGTTACTTCATATAATGAAACCTTGCACGTGGATTCACGTGGTACTAAGCGAAAATTAAATAATGAAAATTCAGCAACACTATGGCACAAACGCTTAGGCCATATCTCAAAAATGAGAATTGATAGGCTTGTGTCAGATGGAGTGTTAAGTAACCTCAACTTCACAGATTTGAAAATTTGTGTTGAATGCATCAAAGGAAAACAGACAAAAACCAAAAGATTAGATGCCACCAGGTCTTCAGATGTCTTAGAATTGATACATACAGATATTTGTGGACCATTCCCTTCGGCTTCTTGGAATGGTCAACAATATTTTATATCATTCATAGACGATTACTCACGTTATGGGTATCTATATCTTATTCATGAAAAATCTCATTGGAAGTGTTTAAATCTTTTAAACTTGAAGTTGAGAACCAACTTAATAAAAAGATTAAATGTGTTAGATCTGACCGTGCTGGTGAGTACTATGGTAGATATGACGGATCGGGTGAACAACGTCCAGGACCTTTGCTAAATTCCTAGAGGAATGTGGAATCGTCCCACAATACACAATGTCAGGTTCGCCTAGCATGAATGGTGTATCTGAAAGACGCAACAGAACTCTTAAGGATATGGTAAGGAGTATGATAAGTCATTCTACTTTACCAGAGTCACTATGGGGTGAAGCACTTAAGACTGCAGCTTACATTCTTAATAGAGTACCAACTAAAGCAGCTGTTAAAACACCTTATGAGCTTTAGACAGGGAAAAAG